AAAGTTCTAGCTACCAAAATATTTCAATTTAGAATTTCAAATTTAAATGACCATACTTACTCATAGAAATCAATTGCAACAAAGAACAGCTATAGAAAGAAGGTCCAATCACCTGGATTTCTGAAAGAATACAGCCGTGCATTGCCATAACCATAAAAGCACAATGCCTCAGAGCGCCACTCACTTTGACATAGTTATGCCATGGATACTTGAATGTCTTGTAAGGGCCATGCGGTGGCTCCCAGCGGGCGAAGTCCAACTACCAAAACAACGAGACTCAAGTAAAACCTTCTGGTAGCATATCATCTAATCGAAAAGTATGTAAGAACCAATACCAATGTGTCCTCCTGGCTTGAGGACTGCACGGCGGATCTATAGGCATTATATATAGGGTTATCAGAGGCCTGATATGTAAGAATTTTCGAAGAGACTCTCTCATATTCCACACACTGAAGGTATTCACTAACAACACCTGAACAAGACATAGACTCTCTCATGTTCTTGCTGATTAAAAGGATAAGAAAGTGCACAGAATCTTATTTTCAAAAAGGATGACAGAATTGATCTTGCCTTCCAAAGAAGATGAAACGTTTTTGAAATTTTTGACAACCAATTTGTGCAGATCCTCCCCTGCCCAAATGGGGAATATACATATATTCACAACCAAGCACATGCCAGCACCGACGGCGATATGCAATAATCGATAAAAGGCCGTATGGAAAAATGACGACGAACTTCCAGATACCAACACGATGCAAAATGTCAACAGAAATACCCGGAACCCATATTCATACGTCTTCATCGGCGGATACAACTTACAATAGCTTGCAAAGAACCCTAAAATAATGAAATGAAATTGTTAATTTAAGAATCCGCTGCATTATAATCGCACAGATTACTTTGTTGCTGCTATAAACTCATACCTGCAAGGAATATACTGATTACGATTGCAACTTCTTCAAACTCCCCAGCCGAGACAGATATCTCTGCAATACCAAGAGCAAGTCCACCGGCTGAAAGTGTCCCCAATGCACGATTGAACCCTTTATTCAGCGTTGCCCCTACAGAAATCAACACGATTATTTCCTTGAAAGAAGAAAATGACACATAAAACCTCAAAAAATCCCCAAATGGACGAAAATCGGTGAAACGAAAATCATTAACCATACCAACGCTAAATTCGAAAACAACGACGACGGTGAGGATAGCCCAGATTGAATACTGGGCTACTTCTTTCAAAGGCTCTCGAATGAAAATGACGAGCGAAGTGAGCGCAAGCGACAACCCCATCTTCGCGGCGAAGTAGAATTTGCGAGGATCGGAGCGGCTCATGTCGCACAACTTGACGGTAGTATCGTGTAAGCCTTTCCAAAAGTTGGTGACCGCATCGGAAACGGTACAGAAACACCGACACTTGGCATTGTCATCGGCACCGGCGTCATCGTTGCCGTGCAGGCCGAAATCGGAATGGCCCTTACGAGATAAGAGTTGTTCCCTGTTCTGATCCAGAAAACTCTGTCGGATTGATCCATATTTTCCGGTCATCTCTTCATCAACAATGGAAACGAGCACTCAGATGTTGATGAACAGGATTTCGCAATAGCTAAACAGAAATGAAAAAAAAAAAAAAAAAAAAAAAAAAAAAAAAAAAAAAAAAAAAAAAAAA